TCTGGGCTCCTCCTCTTCTCCGTGTGTCACCATAGGAAGTCTCTTGCTGTAGGGGCACTTGTGCAGGCTTTATCCCAAGCCAAGCTGTGTGCATGTATTTGCACAGTGCTGCTCAGCCCTGCTCCCTGCTCACTCCTCACTGTATTTGATTGACAGCGGAAGAAGCCAATGGCTCCTGCTGCTCTCACTGAGTCCAGTGAGGAGGGAGAGAGACCAGCAGCACTGCTCGTGGGCACAGAACTGGATTGAGATTGGGCTCAGGTAAGTATTTAGGGGGAGCCGGGCTGGGAAGCTGCACATAAAAGGTTTGTTTACCATAATGCAGAGAATGCATTAAAGTAACAAAAAACTTTTGCCTTTACAACCAGTTTAAAAGTGTATTTGGGCCAGCTTGGCCCAAACAAACTATTTAAAATTACACAAAACCTGGACCTAGGCTTTACTAATAAAGTCAGCAGGTACATCTCTGATATTTCTACCCTCACAGGTTCTCTTTAAGGGCAAGTTCACACTACATGCGTTTTGGTGTGCTCTTTTTCTGCATCCAAAATGCACAGAAAGTAGCTGATATGGTTGTCAATGTCATAGTTCACATCAGTGCTTGCAGTTCCAGTGCGTTCCGGATGCAGAAAAAAAAGTAGAACAGTCTGCATTTTTCCTGCACAGAACTGTACTGGAACGCGGTAAAACGCATCAAAAATGCACCGGAATGCACCAAAAATGCACTAGAATGCACATGTCCCTATTTGAATTGAAAAAGAGAGGAGGAAAAATGAACTGGATCGCATCAAAACGGCACCAGAAAGCGTCAAAAATGCATTAAAACCGTGCATACAAAAATGCACCATGAACTCATCTGGAGTGCGTTTCTATAGTGTGAACCAATCCTAATAGTTCTATATTAAAATTGCTATGGCAATGGAAATATGAAACAGTATATCTTTTTTGAGTAAGGGGCTTCTAAAGAAAGATTGCTAATTTCAACTGATTTACTTACAGTACTTTACTAAACCACATCCCTCGCTGCAAATGTGATGCAGGGATTAGAAGTCTGATTTAATAAAACCCAACTTTGGGCTCGATCCATTTCATAACATTTATAGTGCTTGTTACGTAACCCTTTTCTCGGCTGCAGTGCCGTCACAGGCTGTGCTACGTGATTGGCAAAATATAGAGAGGAGGTGGAGGCAAAACATCAGAACTGGTGTCTGCTACAGCAGCCTGGCTAATGTCAATGAGTGGCCGGAAGTACAGCTCATATGGGGAAACTGAGAGGAAGGGTTTTCCCAATTCTGAACAATTTGAAACAATGAAGGGCTGAGAGGCAATCCAAATGTTGTGAAATGGATCATGCTTTGTTGGCCTTTAAAAAGTTAATGATCTAGAAGGGCCACACAGCCACTCACATGATGTTTCCATCACACATACAAAAAGCTACAGACCGCTACATAATGTCAATTCAGTTTAGCTGGGTCCTTGTAGTTGCTGTCCTTGAATATTCTGTTAATGTTTGTTAGTGGACTAGTGTTCTAGGTAATTACAGTTCATCCATTCTGGGTCCAAACACCTAGAACCAGGGGCGGACTGACCATTTGGAAACTCGGGCACTGGCCGAGGGCCCGGGGTCAGTAGGGGGCCCCATGAGATGCCCCTGGTTCCTTTTTTGAGTTTGGGCAAGGACACAGGGGCCCCATGATCCCCTATGGCCCAGGGGGCCCATGAGTTGTCAGTCCGCCCCTGCCTAGAACTCAACTCCTAGAAAAGTAGTAAGACAGTTTGCCCTACTTTTCGAGCTGATTCACACATGTGCTATGCGGATTGAAGTTCAGGTTTCACAGCTAATTGATACAGTAGTTGTTCAGAGGTTCACATTAGGTTCAGGACAGGATTAGCTCAGGATCTTATCTTGTTCACACATATGAATTTAGAAACGGTTCCCATAGAAGTCAATAGCCTGTAATCCGCACCTGAACCGGCCTGCACTGCTCAGAAATCGGATAGCACTCATTTTCATTCTGCACTGAATCCGCACCGCCAGTGCACCAGACATATGTGACACCATCGGAAGCAATGTTTTTTCACATGTCATACGGATTGGATGCAGTTCAAACTGCATCTAATCCGCATATATGTGAACGGGCACTTCAAGCCATTGCTTTAGATGTACTGATCAGGAGTGATCTAGCTGTCTTCTCCCATCTCTCCACCACCAATCTTGACAGGACCAAATCTGGCCATACATGGATTGAAATTCGTCCGGTTCAGCTGGTTTGATCCATTTGGTTAAACAGAAATTGATTTACCGATAGGCTGCAGCAATGATCTTTGCATTCTGAAAGTGTGTGAAGTCTCCCCACTTAAGTTGGGCAGAATTGGGACAGATCGGGACAAAAAAAAAATGACCTATGCATGGGCAGCCTAACTGGCTATGACACCTGAGCTTGTTGTGTTATAGTAAGGATCTATTCAATAAGGAGAGATATGGCTACTACATCAACAACACAGCTTCAAAAAAGCATGCACAATTTTTAAAGTGCAGTAACGTGCTTTACAAATGTGCATTACACTTTTCTTGCTTTAGTACTGTGAAGGAAGCAGAGTTCAATAAAAATGAATGAATATAAACAAATTGTGACCTAGTAACACCATGGGGTTTATTTACTAAAGCTGGAGAGTCCAAAATCAGACTCCCTTCTGCATAGAAACCAATCAGCTTCCAGGTTTCATTGCCAAAGCTTCATTGAACAAGCTGAGGTTAGAAGCTGATTGGTTTCTATGCAGAAGGGAGTCTGATTTTGGATTCTCCAGCTTTAGTAAATAAACCCCCATGTGTCTGGCCTCTTCTCCAGTCAATGGGTTTTCTCTCCTGAGTTTAAGGCCATGACATACTTCAGCCTCCACTTTATGGCCTGCAATTGATCAATGGGCTGAAGAATGTAGGTGCTCAGTAACCGAGCAGTGTATAACTAGAGCAGTCTAGCAAGTGGGTCACGACAGGCAGCTTAAAGTGTTAGTAAACCCAGGACCCTGCATCCATTATACCTGGTCTCCCACAGTACACACAACATGGAAGTGCAATTATTTTAGTAACTATAAACTGCTAAATACCTTTTGTCATCAGAAGTTAGAGTAGTCTTGTGGCTTCTATCAGTGTCCAGCCAAGCACTAGCTAAAGCTTATAGGAGGAGTTTTCTTTCTGCTTTAGGAGGATGCAGAACCCCTGGCCTCTGTCTATACAGAGCTGATTAGCCCTGTGCTGATCACATGCACTCCCCCAAGAAAAAAAAAAACCTCTCTAGCAATACACACCAAACTGAGCATGTGCAAAATGCCTATGGTTCAGTCTGTCTTATCAGCAGATAAGAGGTGGTCCGCTTGAAAAAGGGGAGGAACAGAGAAGAAAAGATCAAACTGCCTTTTTACACAATGCAAAGGATTAACCCCTTAGGCCGGCCATACATGGTTCGAAAATCGACTGATTTTTCGTTGGAAAGTCGGACCTAAGAAAAATCGGCCAATTTTCGCTCTGTTAGTGGGTCAATGGCACCGCCCGATTTTCGTGGTTCCTCCCCTTTTCGGTGATGGGGCATGTTGGAAAATTTGAGAAAAATGACTGATTTTTGACTCAATGATGGCCAAATTGTACAATCGTTTTTCCGAAAAGAATATGCACATGAGCTGTGACCTGGAAGGAACAGAAGTTTTGCATGTTATATGGGGTGAACTTTATGACTTGGTCGGCCGATTTTCGAAATCAATGATGGCACCATCAGATTACCGAGCGAACAACGTTTCCGATTTTCAGACGAAAAATCGTTCGGAATTCGAACTATGTATGGCCTGCATTAGGTTCTACAGTGAGGATAACAAGCATGCTTTACTGCATATACAGACTGATTTTACTGTTGTGGGTTTAGTAACATTTTAAGAGGCAAAAAGAAAATCTACCCCCTGTATCCTAGCCTGTGTTGACTTCACATTTCGAATCAAGCTCAGAGCAGTATAAACTAAACCTGATTGAATCATTAAAGTAAACCTGAGTCAGGCTGAAAATTAGTTCTTTAGGAAACCAGACTTCTAATCCCTACCCCACATTTGCAGTAGGGGATGTTGGAATTTTTTTTTTCCAAATTGGTCCAGCAGATTTTAGCTTGCTTCCAACATTTTTTTTACATTTTTTTCCAATTCTTTTCCAAACAGCATCAGGATGCCTTTAAATCATGCTCTAGGACTTGCTTGGGACAAAGAATGCAATACACTGAAAAAAGCTAATATTGCTGTCCACAGTGTGCAGAGTGACTCCCTTGCTGATACACGGACCAGTGCACATATGTTCATAACACAGGGGCCGGTCATGCTGCAGCACCTGGAGCCTGTGCACATGGAATCTAAAACTATTTGGCTGTTAGGAAAGAAAATGGTTTGACTGAGGCAGATTAAAATGTGGTCCTTAGGTCCTCGTGCATTAAAAGGCTCGGGACTAACATTCAGATTTCTAAGAGTCTCAGAGAAAAAAAGAGTTCTATTAATGATTTGCTAAAAGGAACATGTATCCAACTAAATGGCCTAGTTGGTGGAGGAGAAATGTCACTTTGTACTGATGCCTGTGAAGCACAATGCTTAGTCACTTTAATAAATAGACACTGAAATGCAGTAACACAATGTAGAGATGCAAGTCCAACAGATGGTGTTCAATTAGAATGCATTTGCCGAAGTTAAATGTCATTGAAGAAAACGTTTTAGTACAGTAATTGCACACCCCACTACTGACAAATCAAAATACTAAGGTTAAAATCTCTTCTTTTAGTTAGTTTTTACGATTCACATGACTAATTGTAGTATTTTAAATACATTAAATCAAATGTTCCCACTACTGGCGACTCCAGCGAGTACAACACCAATGCTTGCAGGCAGGTTGTCTGATAGGTGTCTCGCTGTGTTATTTGTATTGTCTGTAGATTTATCCCACCAGTTCATTGCTTCAACATAGTTTTCCATATTCAGCTTGCCATCCAGAGTGTAAATGTAAAAAGAAAACACGGAAGGGTAGTGGAAGGTCCTATACCCATGCACAACGTTAATGCCAACCCTAAAGCAGCAGAAATCAGTACACTTCTTTGGTCTCGAATAATCTTCTTCACAATCTCACAGAACTGAAAAATAAAGTGAAACATATGAATCAGCTGGGAGAAATAACATGTTTGTATATGAAAAGGGAAAACTATATCAAATAAATGTTAAAGTGCCCAGGAGAATAATATTATTAATATACAGGATTTATATAGTGCCAACAGTGCAGCACTTTACAAAATGAAGGCAGACAGTACAGTTGCAATATTATTCAATACAAGAGGTATCAGAGGGCCCTGCTTGTTAGAACTTACAGTCTAAAAGGGTAGGTCAAGTGATAGAAAAGGTAATAACTGTGAGGGATGAAGCTGATGGACAAGATAAGGTAATGGCTGAGAAAATAGACTGTCTAAATCAGGGTTTCTCAACAGGGTTTCTCCAGAGGTTGCTAGGGGTTCCTTGAGCAACCAGCAATATCCATCTCTCAGATTGGTTCCCACAGACACCATTGACATTTTTAGCTATCTACAACAGGGTAATTATTTTCAATGACCACAAGTGTAAGGAACATTCTTCCCACTGACCATCACACGAATGTATCATGAGCTGTAGATATAGTAGTTTTTAGCAAGGGTTCTCTGAGACCAAAAAGTCATTTCAAGGGTTCCTCTGTGTTGAAAAGGTTGAGAAAGGCTGGTCTAAATATTATCAAAAATGATGCATAAACATACACACTATTATGGACCAACTTTTAGAAAACTTTGGAGTTGGCCCAACCTTGGGAAAACATGGCATTGTAGATCCAACCCGAATATTCCTAGATTGTAAGCTCTAACGAGCAGGGCCCGCTGTTTCCTCTTGAATCAAATTGTATTGTAACTGTAATGTCTACCTTCATTTTGTAAAGCACTGCGAAAACTATTGGCGCTATATTAATCCTGTATAATAATAATCAATACTGCTCCTGATATCAATTGACTAAGAAGCTGTTGGTACAGGTTGCAGAATGGCTATAGATATACAAACATCCACACATCTAATCATAATTGGCTTTTGTCTATTTGCTCTTAAGTTGTGTTAATTCACATTTATTTTGAACCAGCTGTAATCATTAAGGGCTCGTTCACACCATGGTGCAGAGACCAGAGATAAGTCAGTTTTTCTGCACGTATTCTGCAAGGACACAACGAAATCAATAGTTCCCTGTTCACACCACTAATGTGCCCTGTTCACACCACCACATTAGTATCACGTGCAGATTTTTTTCTGCGCAGGAATCTGCAACATATATAAAACTCATTGATTCGTGCATGAAAACGGATGTGATGTCTCTGCAAGTGAACTCTGCGTGTCAGTTTCTATCAGTTTTTCTGCTTGTATGGTGTGAATGAGGCCTAAAAAGCAATTCCATTTTTGAAGAAAAGATCAGAGAAGTAGCTTCTGTTTCCCACCTCAGTGAAACTAAAAAGTATCATTCATTAATAATAATTAAATTTGGCATGAAATAATACTTAATTATGCTCTTAGCAACAAACTCCACCTGTCTGAAATGTAAAAATACTTGATATGGAATTTAAAATTAATAAATTAGTTTTCCAAGTGGTTGCCACATTTTGTATGCAGCATTTTAGCATTATATGTGCCGCAATTTTATTGACCAAAATATCACCCATGTAAGCGCTATTTGAAAAAATACACAATGGGGTTGATTTACGAAAAACCAGAGAGTGCAAGCTCTGCATAGAAATCAGCTTCCAGTTCTTTTTGTCAAAGCCGCGAACTAAACAAGAAGCTGAATGGCTAACAAGTACAGCTGCACCAGATTTTGCACTCTCCATTTTTAGTAAATCAAACTCATAGTGTATTTAAACGCTTAATATTACTGAGTAAAATAATTATGGACTACAACTGTGCAATAGAAATTAAACCTAAAACTCTGTAATTACAATGTTTTATTTATTTATTTTATTTATTTATTTTTATTTATAGGCTTTCCATACATGCCAACAAAGCAAAGTACAGGCATATGTAAAAAGAAAATGCACAGATACGGTAAAGATAGATACATTGGGCAAGGACAGGTATCCCATCTACATTCAGTTAAGCATGCAAGAAGGCAACGTACTGATATGACTACCATCCAGTCTTAACTTTTAATGTAAAACAAGGAAATAGAGAGCAAAAAAAATTGGCTGTGGAATTAAGGCAGAACAAGAAAAGAGAAGAAGACTAAGAAAAGAAGGAGGTAAAGGGGAGATGGGGAAAGAAGAGGGTAGAGGATTCTGGTAGAAGGTGTCCCGGAGATTCCCTCCATGTTGCCAGGATGAGGAAAAACAAGACTTGGAGACCAGAGATCTAATCTTCAATCGGCAAAATAGTTTCATATTAGTAGTAACTGATGTCAACCTGTTGCATTTTACTATGTGTGAAACAAAATGAGCCATCTATGCAAGATTTAGTTTAAATAGATTTGATTGCATCTGTGTTGCTGATGCAGAGTCATCTCATTTAAATCATACCCCCCTTTCACTTCATATGAAGCAGGTCACCATCTATTTTCTGCCTGTGCTACATAACAAGATTCAGATTTTTACAAGATTAAAACTATTTCTTTATACTTTAATAGCTAGCAGTATTTATTAAAAAAAAATCTTCAGATATTTGTAATTATCATCTGTATTCACACACAGTTTAATTCATTTCCTTTTGAACAGCTGAGAGGTTCTTGCTTTCATCCACCAGTATTACGACCCAAAACATAGACGCAATAAAAAGAAGTGGAGGAATGCATATGTAAAAATTTATTGCACGGATTAAGGAAGTAACACTTTCATAGACTTTTAAAAGACAGTCCAGACACAATTTCATGTCTCCTGTTACTACAGGAACTGTTTAATTAATAGGAGGGTTAAAGGTTATTAGCAATAAACCTGAATTGTTCTAGAGGAAGCTGTAATACCTTAGCCTTTTACAATAGGTCACTTTGTAGTCTGCACCTCCACACATTTTATGTGTAAATAAAGGGGAGTAATTGCAGTGTGTTACATTTATATTACTCAACCACAGACAAAAAAAATTCTCCTTCACAAACACAGACACACTCAGGACAAATACTTTTCAGTGCAGGCTGGCCGAGAATGATATTGCATTTCTGATAAACTGTAATCCTACCACTTATTAAGATATATGTCTTGCTTGTTTGTAACTTGTGCAGTCACAGGTTAAATACCTACAGGTTAACCTATACTTACCGATCAAATTTAGAAAATCTATTGTAACAAAATGTAATTCCTTACCATCTTATCTTACAGTATCTTATCTTTTAGTATCTTATAACTATTTCTAGCATTTAGTATTGCTATAAACCTGGGTTCTGCAGAACAAGAAAGCACAAGAACAGTACAAGTACAACAGCAAGTTATAATATCTATGAAGTGCAGGTTACCTTATCGGTCTGAAAGCTCACCGGAAAGCCATATCTGCAGTAAGTCACAAAGTGCTCGCAGTTATCCCACAGCAGGCTGTATGGCGTGGCCCCCAGCAACTTTTCAGCCCTTTGGGCCACTTCCTCATTACAGAGGGGCTTTGTCTTGAAGCTGCAGTCCATGTGATTAACTATTATGGTTCCACCATAGGCAAAGTCCTGCACAGTGTCCACCCTGATACTGGCCACCTTAGCCAGGACACCCAGGATCAGCCTTTTGTTAGTCACCACTTTGTCAATCAGACACTTGTCGCCTGAAAGGGCAGGAAGGATATCTGGCATCAGATGGGCAACCTTGTTATTTCCCAAATAAATCCCAAAGTGCACAAACAGAGTCCTGGGAACTTCTAATAAGTCTCCTCTCTTCAGTTCACAAACAGAAGAACATCTTGCTTTACTCTTCTTCTTAGCCAGGCTAAACTTCTTAAAGTTGGCGAAGATAAAGAATTTCTCAAAAAAGAAGACCATCAGTCCTACCAGTAGAGACCTCATGATGGTCACCTTGAGGATTCCAAGACAAGGCTTAACTGCAGTGATTTGCCTCATGCTAATGTGTGTTTTTTTGTTAAACACGTGGGAGAGAATCATCAAAGATTAAAGTCAGCTAGCATTGGCTGAAAGTAATGTGGGAGTCCTCTGGGAGTCCCTCTTCATTCCATTGTAATAGAACCTTTATATACCAGATAGAGCACTTAGAGCAGTTATTTACCACTATTAAGTGTACTATTTATTTCTGAAAATTAATCCATATTATTAAAAAATCTCTCTCTCTCTTTCTATATATATATATATATATATATATATATATATATATATATATACACACATACAGTATATATATATATATACATATACATATATATACATACAGTATATATATACACACATACAGTATATATATATATATACACATACACATACAGTATATATATATATATATACATATATATATATATATATATATATATATATATATATATATATAGTTTTTTAGTTGAACTTCAAAATTGAGTTTCAAGTTGAGGAAAGTAATTTTTACTCTGCATATTTGTGCTAATATACCTGATGCATCCCTTCATGTATGTGTTATCATAGCTAGAGAAAAAAACCAATACAAATATTTAATTCATTTGTATTACATGCAGTGGTATGTTGAGAATAACTTTATGCATCAGGTGACTTTTAAAGTTGTGAAAATTGTCTGTAGAAATGTATTTATTCATTGTAAGTCTTTTTAATTCTTTTTTATGAATTTTATAATTGTTTCCTTGAACGTATTTACTACAAAATTTGAACAATTTCATGAATGTGACTAATGAAACATTTCTACTGTTCTAAATGCATGTCAAACAATATTCAGAGTGAAATGCAAAATACAATTATCTGTAGACTGTTGAATGTAGAAGTTTTATTTTCTTGGTGAACTTCTGTCCAGCAACTCCATATCTACAACATGAAGCTCCTACTGTAAAATAATACATATCCTGAAAATCTGGTAAAAAGATTGATGCTATATTGGTATTTATATTGAGTACATTACACAAGGGTTGATTTACTAAAATTGAAGAGTGCAAAATCTGGTGCAGCTCTGCATTTAAA